AAAATTAACCAATATTTCAAAAATCTTCTCCTCCAGACTCAGAGGTACTACAGTGATTTTCTCAACGTGGAAAGAAAGATCATCAGGGGCTTTACTTAAATTGTAAATTTCAGGACCCTCGAGCTATCCGTTGTCTTTGGGGAGGGGGTAAAGTTTACTATAGTTTATATAGGGAAATAATACTTTTCGGTATATATTTTATCCATTTTCAGCAGAAAATTACTCAAACTTAATCAGAATCATCTTGGGTGAATGAGAGTATTACTTTGTAAAATTGGGATTCCTGCCCCATCCCCAGGGGCTAGGGTGGGGCCCCAAAGGGAACATTTACCAATATTTTCAAATTCTTATCCATTGATGACATGACAAGTATTGTATTTCACTTAGTTAACATGCTGATTTCCACATCACATCTAAACAATAAAATAAAGCTACCAGTACCTATGATATAACTCAGGTGACCGCTAAGGCCCTTGGGCCTCTTGTTCAACGGATCTCTTTGAAACTTGGTATACATTATCATCATGATATGAAGTCGTCTCCCTTAAAAGAATTTTGATTCTACGATTTTTGCAAAAAATATTGCCCTTTGTTCATTTCAGTATTTGATTTTTTGTCCGGAGATTTTCTACTACATTTTGTATAGCATGTCAGCTAACCACTCTTAGAATGATGCAGATCTTATTTAAATGTAAGAAAGTAAATAACACTATATGGCATTCGACGGGCGTATACTGTTCCGCCGCGTGGTACTCTGGTTAGAAATGATTTATCAAAGGTGTCTAGTCATGCTGGAAAAAAGTCTCCTATGTGTAGTTAGTGTTTTGCAGTTGTACAGGGATCCTCATACCACTACCAACAAGAGGCCCAGAGGGCCTGTATCGCTCACCTGTTTCTTTTGTTACATGAAACTGACATATAGGTAACTTCAGACCAAATTCGGTAACTAGAACACAAGACATTTTAACATCTCTTGAACGGTTCTTAAGATATTTGTTGTTTGAAATTTGAACTTTAAATATTTTAACCCACGTTGACCTTTGACCCCCGACTAGCACTCAAAGTTGACCTTTTACCTCATTTCTGTAATAAAGAAAAAGTTTCACACAGCTGGTCTTCATAACATACCCAAGTATCATGACTAGTCCAAATGGTTCTTAGGATATTGTTGTTTGAATATTTAACATATTGGACCCCTGTGACCTTGATACTAGGTCATGACATTTTAATGAGGAAACTTCATACATGGATCACTCCATTCTAGGTACCTGCTGGCCAAATATCATGACCCTGGGCCTAATGGAACTTGAGAAGAAGATTGTTAAAGCTTTTAACCAAAGTTGACATTTGACCCCCGACTAGTATTTAAAGTTAACCTTTGACCTCATAACTGTGAATAAGAAAAATATTCGAACTGCTGGTCTACATAACATACCCAAATATCATGACTTGTTAAAATGGTTCTGAGGATATTGTTGTTTGAAATTTTTCACATATTTGACCCCTGTGACCTTGAAAGTAGGTCGAGGTCATTGTTATGACGAAACTTTATAGCACTCCATCCAAGGTACCTTATGGCCAAATATCTTGACCCTAGGTCCTACAGTTATTCAAAACAAGAGGCCCATGGGCCTTAACGGTCACCTGAATCCTACAGTATTAATTTTTGTTGTTGAAATATGAAGTGGAGATAATGTCAATCATCCCTACCAAAATTTGAATAACAAGAAGTATAACTTTAACTTAAGTTTGTCAGGACAATGAGTTGATCATTCCTAGACCGAGTTTCAGTTAATACGGCCTATTAGAACTTTATTTTAAGTTTTAAATAGTTTTTTTCCAAAATGGCGGCCATATTGGATTTTTGATGGACCCGAAAAAAACCCATTTTGCCAGGACCATGAGTGGATCATTCCTACCAAGTTTCAGTTAAATAGGCCCAGTAGAACTTGACTAAGTTTGAAATAGTTTTTCAAAATGGTGGCCATATTGAATGTCTAATCGACCCGAAAAATAACAACACTTTGTCAGGACCATGAGTGGATCATTCCTACCAAGTTTCAGTTAAACTTGACTTCATGCGTTAGGTAACGCAAGTGTCTAGGGGATCGCGCATACTACGAAATTTGCTTAACGTGGAACTACATTTTCGATACACACGCCATCTATGACTGTATATGGTCTTTCTGTCCTTATATGGTAGCTGATATCTCCTTATATGGATTTCATTCATATGCCAATGTTTTTGGCAGCGACCCCTAGCATTTTAATTCATACCGTAGTAACGCCATTTTGTGGTTCGCCGACTTATAGGCAGAGAAAGCATTCACTTCGATACTTTCTTAACTACCCATATGAATGTGAAAAATACAACAATGCAACTATTTTGTGAGTATACAATTAATAAAAATATTCTGAACTGACCCACTGCGGCGTATCCAGATGGCTTCCTTTATCTGCAGCTTAAACAGATTGCTCTCTCTTTCCAATACTTTGATCTGGTGAATTTCCTTCCTTCTTAGATTTCCGTATCTTTCTGGTGTTCACCAAGGCGGACCTCAAATCGCCTGATGGTTGTGTTACAAGAACTTTTCATGATGTATGACACAGTGCTTTACCTATTTAATTTTAATTTTAAAGGTACAATCACCTGTGTGTTACATTCATATTTCACATCAATCGACCAATGGTACACGCGGACTGATATATGTCTATGTTAAGTATTATAATTACTTCTGTTATAACTTCAGAACTCGGTAGCAGGATACATGTGTATCAAGTAAAACTGCAAGCACCTTTAATGTTGATCGCTAGGCTGCATTTGCAGAAAAAATGTGTACTTATTAACACTTTCTTGGGGTTGGTTATGAATAGTAGAAAGGTTATGTATCACACAACCAGTACGTTTATATGTGTGATAATTCCGTGACTAATACGATACGTACAATGTCACCTTCATCAGACAAATGAAGCGTATGTGCACAACGGTGTAAAATATGTACGAGTTGGCAATATATAATCAAAGTCGATTCGGATACGTTATAAGAGTATGGGTACTTACTTGTTTTACATGTACGAAATGACGAATAATTCCGACGGATCGATCCGGCTACGCTTTGTTTAATACCTGGTCATAGTTGTGCGAAGGTCTAAGAGCCCTGTTCAAGCGGTGAATAAAAGAAAAGCTATCTGGATAGGACGCAGTGGGGCCAGTTCTGAACCAAGATGACACATAATAACGTACTAGTTGAGATTACATTACCGTTCTACTAGAAAATGTCTGATTTGTTTAATATTAAATAATAAATTAAATAAATACAAGTTGATATGACATACAAATGTACATATAAAATACTTAAAAATTGCTTTAATGTTTTAAAGCAAATTTTAGGTTGTTCGATTTGAAGTTTTCCATCAGTTAGAGAAGTATTTTATATGTATGTCATATCAATGTGTACTTATTAGACTTATTATTAAATATTGACTAGTAAGATAAAAAATAATTCTTTTATTTTGGTCTGAATATGATGTGATAACTCCACTAATAATTGAACTGATGGTGCTTAAGTGAAATTATCATCTCATAGCACGACAAAAAACTATTCCTTATATTCACAATACTGTATAACATGAAATGATCGTTGTGTATTAACATTCGTGGTTTTCGTGGCTGCTGTTGAACCACGAAAATAAACATGTCTACAAACCACGAAAAAAAGTACCCACGAATATTTCCTGTTATACAGTATCCTTCTTTGTGTGAATGGTTCATAACTATTATATAAATAAATCCGATCAGCGAGTAAAATGTTCATTAATGAAATGTCAACGTGTTAATTATTCAATTAAACAACCTGATACTTGCATAAGACGCGGCTTAACCGTCCACATCCACTATTGATGATAGGTGTTTTACTACCCTCAAAGCAGGGAATTTGTTAACCTGTGTACAATCTTAATTTGTTTATAAACTAAACCACTATGACACCCGAAGTATCTGCTTCTGTAGCGTGTTTCATACCTTAAGAATTCACAGAAACATTACTCACGGCTTAAATGACCGTAGACAAATTTTCGAAAGATACGAAAACTAAAACACGTATACAAAGACTGGTGTGTGACAATATAGACTTTGTTCTAAGCATGAAATTAGATGATTCAATAACGTACATAGACCAGTCAAATGTTTTAGAAATTAAATTTGAACTGTCGAGTCAAATGAGATTTTTCTGATTGCCTCCAAAAACGAATAAAAAGCCTTGCCATGTGCAATCTACGCATTAATTATCTGGTAAAGATCTGTTAAATAATGAAAATGTAGCAAATCAATGTCAGAAACAACGACTTTGACGTCATTATAAAAGTAGCATAACGCTTATCTGACGTTTCAGAACCTAACAATAAAATTATGTTTTCTTACTCAAATTTAAGACGAATCGCCATTTTAGTTTACTTTCAAATGAGTGATAAGATACAAGGTTTACCGAGTGTCTTTTTAACTTAAAAATCAATATCAATCGATAATCAACTATCACGAGGTTGGGGACATTTTTCTCCCGAAACGTTCATTTATGATATCTAGAAAACCGTAGGTTTCTCTTGGAAAACAACTTTAATCATCCTTTCGATCCGGGAAACACTTGCCACAAAATATGAAGTCACAATGGAAATTAACATTGCAAGGCATTGTTACTTCAGGTCCCTATTAAAAGATTGAAAATTGTTATAACACATGTCCAATGTCATGTGACATGTGTAGGTAAATTACAAAGGATTTGTTTAATGAAAGTATATAACTCTTTGACAGCATCAAGTTTTTTTTTATTATTATAACCTCGGAGCTTAAATGTACCATGATATGAACTCAATTAATTGAATAAACATTTCGTTATATACGATTATACCAAATCAAAGTTAAAACCAGAAGAACACATGTCTTATATTAAAAACTATATTTATAACAAAATGTAACAAAACATTTAGAAAGTTTACACATTTTATCAACTGATAACACATTTTTGTGTAAATATCGTGACAAATGAATAATGTTGGTAATGTTTTAAATATTAGATAAATGATTCTGTTTTTTGGATATAATTGTGACAATGATAATATAGCATTTCACATAAAAATCAAGGCTACACAAATAATAAAGAGTGTGTATGTATATATTTTTCAACACTTCAATCGCGGGGATACCATATCAACCACGAAACACACTTGTCTTAGACCGTTGCCAAGGTTTTAACCACAAACAAGACCAGAAAATAATTGTGACACAATCAGGTTTTCTTTCTGAAACTTTCGTTATTGCATGTTTTATGTAAGAATTATAAAGATTGCAAAGTTTGGATATTTCCATTTACTTCTGTTTGTTGTATGCAATAAAAGTTACCCATGTTGATAAATGCAGAACAAAACAATCACTCAGTCACACAAAAACAAAACTATTTTTTCCAGCTGTATAAACAGGTTTTAACAGTAGTTTCACTTTCATATTGCGTGATATCTTTAAGTACAATTGTAAATAAATGACCGGTGTATACAATTATGTTGGATGCAGTGTAAAATGAAATTGAAACCCGATGAAACCATGTCCGGTCCAATTGAAAGTATATCACCACGGACATTGCTTAAACTTCTATTTATTTAATTTAAAATTCAATACATATTGTGCTGCATGTGAAGTAAAACAGTGAGGATCGAACAATTAATGTACATGTACTAATGAACATTGGGTACACCTCTTACTCTTAAAACTATAATTGTACTTGATAAAAATACAAAAAGAAATCCGACTAAAACACCAGCATTCCGGTTAATATTGTCCACAGCTGTAGGAAAAAATAATGCCAGATAATCGTCTCCTGTTTGAAACTGACATTTTTCTGTAATGAGAAAGAAGAATCTCCATCATTTTCACTTGGTAAGTATGTGTTTATTGAGATATTCATTCGTTTTGGGGGATGGTGTTAAATGTATGTTATTTAAAGTCCGCATATAGATATACATGTATTTTGTATAGGCACTCAGATTTTTCAAATGGGTCTTAAAAACAGAATGAACTGAACATTGAGAAAAGGAGTAATAAACTTTGAAATATCATACTGATTTGGCATTGCTGTCAACATGACATCAACTTTCATTACACACAAATAATATAAAATTTAAACCGATTAAGACTACTGAATGAGTTTCTTCATTACGAATATTCTGACGTTAGATGTTGTAAAATTAAATGAACATCTTTAACATATATAACATTTATTACCTGCGACCTCACAGATCAGCTGAAGACCTTGAAATTCGTTGGCTACAAGAATTTCTGTGGCGTATTTATGTATCGTCAACCAGCCTAGCCATTCCAGAGGGTCACTCATAGAGTCAATACTCCTATGGAACAAAAACAATTAGAGTTATCTCCCCTATCTTGTGAGGAACAGTGACTGATCGTTAAATAAAAACTCATATTTCTAAAATTGTTGACAAACAGACAATAACAATTGAATGAAAATGGATGGAATAAAGCTAACTGAAATGAATGCATGTAGGTATATGAAAATAGTAATCAAAACGATCATGTTACAGCGATGGATTTCGTTTCTACAATCGGAATTGATACACGTACCAGCTTAAGTTTTTCAATTAGGTAATGCTATTTTATTCCTATACAGGTACTTACTATAACAGTGCATAAAAATGGTATAAATATCTGCTGCATGTATATACACTAAGTAGTTCAGGGTGGATTTTTTTTTATTCATTAACTACAGCAATTGATACACTTACATACCTCAGAAGCCCAGAGCCAAATAGGAACGAGGCGGTTAAAATGAGTGTAACGCTATTGACAGCCATTTGGCCATTCTTAAACACTGCCATTGCACCCACAGCCATAATTTCACCTATCACGTGAAGGAAGAAAACCAGGAACAAATAGACAAAGAACTTGTCTGGGGTTGGCTTCAGGCCCGTAACCCTGTAATGGATGAACACACTATAGATTTAATACGAAACCACAAAAAGCCGTCTTTGTAAATAGAACGTTGTGGTAAATATTCTTCCGTTCAAGGTACATGTATAGGTAATATTTTCCATATCGTCTTAAAAAGGTTTTACATGTAACCATAACATATCATTAGTTATTATTGAGTTAATCAAAAGGCAAATGAAGGATTTGAAAATATGACATTGATGGCTTACAGTAAACATAATTTCAAAATAAGACTGCCGTAAAATAAAACGACTGCAAAAATGAGCCGGGGATTCCTTACTGAATATGAAAATAAGCCGCGGCTTAATGTCCCAGATTTTTAAAGCATCTAAATATAGCATCGATGAGGATAAACACATCGATACATCTTAAATGGCAATTCACTTACTGATATTTGCAAGAGAGGTCGCGTTAAGAGCAGTTAGTTAAATCTATTCAGGCTAATAGCAACCTAGTAACTAGAGTTTAAAGCCTGCTGATACTGTCGCGTCGTTATAAATTTGGTCGTCAGAATATATTTTTCCGAACGCTAATTATAACTTTATTTTTTTAAGAATTACGAAATTATCTATATCAATGAAGACAAAAGCAAACACAAACAAACTCATTTCACATATACATTTCAATACTCACCAGTAAATAATTGTGCTGAATATGATAGAGGCAATTAAATGGAATGGTACTGCGTGCATCATGTAGGCGGAGATGAATGTCAATGGCGAGTACAGACCGTCCTTGTGCTCCCGGAAGTAAACGTCTCTTAAAGATGGAACTATGGGTAACACAACCATAGTGCTGCCATTGAATTGTATGCATAAAGCATTTTAAATAAAATCGAGAATTAATTTCACTTGATGGCAAATTCACGTTAATAACGTTCTGACAAATAAAGGATTTGCTGCAATATGTCAAGAAATACTATTAACCCATAATAAGGAATTTGTAACAGATAACACAGAGATGGAGACCGTCATTTCCGTCATGATAGATAACGGAGGGCCAAGTTGATCAATGGTGTTTAGCTTAATGAGTGATTAGCACAAAATTTGTGTATCTTTAAAACACGAACATTAACTGAGTTCAAACTTTAAATAGAGCAGGTACATCATAGACGAATAAAATTACGCACAACAGTCTTTAACCTTGTTCATTGACATAATTACTAGCGGTTGACAAAAGTCGTTCAACAGTGATTAAGCTAATTATCTTTTAAACATCCGGGCCCTTGTCTTAAAGGGCTACTGTAACAACTTCAACGTACATTTAAGTCCCCAAGTGAAACAACTAACACTAAAACAGGCTATGGAGTAGCGAACTAAATGTTAAGTCAATATTCATGGGAGATTGGTATGTTACGTCAGAGGAAAGGAAAATGTGCGAAATCCTAGTCGTCAAGTGTGTCAAGTAAGCTAGAAACGATTTGCTGCATTAAGCTACTTTCGATTCTTTCATGTCTTTACCGATTATTGTTTATGTATATAACATTTGACTCAATACGTAATTTCCTAAAGCAAATAAATACTAGAACAAAACCTTTACCTCCACAGTTTTCTCATTATCTCAAGCATACGTACAAAGAAAGGCCGTGTTGAAGGCACCCACGTACGCAGGAACAATAAGAGTTTGGTACATGAGGCCGACTCTGTCCTGAATGCTCTTTTGATCAAACCTCAGTCGTCCAAGAAAGACGCAGATGAAAGGGATGAACAGACTCAGTACAAACAAGCGTGTACAATAGGATGATCGGTCCCGGAACATATTCACCGTCATCCGTCTTCAGAATCGGAAATAATTTAAAAAAAGACAAAAATGCAATGTGCAGCTATACGGGTACTACTGTAACGCATGAAGTGTACATTTTTGTTCATCTGTTATTAGTTGCGATTGACAATTCCCTTAAACAATAGTCTAAAGATATCTATCACATTAAAGGTTTCCATTTCTCTTCACAGACATGCTGATACTGATCAACAAAGAGTGACGATATCGGTATGTAAAAAAACCAATAGCAGATTGATCAGCTACATGTACGTTTTCTACAAACAACGGGACCATAAACATTAATGTACCAATCAAATTTAAGATACATTATTTGTAATTAAAAGAAACAATAACAGAAAGATACTGATAACTTATCGTTACGACTTCCTAAAGGGAAACAATGGCAAACACACATTGGTCAATTAAAAGTTATAATATATTCAAAACAATACACTAATCACTAGATTGCTACAAAAAAGGAAATTTAAGATAGGAATCTTTGAGTAATTACTTTGATGTAAGCAAACCTTGTTTATCATTTCGATTCCCCACATCCTGCTGTGGTTTGTTTTTACATAAGTTAACCTGTATGTGTAAAGTAAGGGGTCCATTACACATGTGACTTATTTTGTCATTCGGTATTCATAAATATACACACGTATTCAATCAGATAGCTAAATATGGTTTAGGGATATGCTTCATGTATGTATGTACGAAAAAATATAGTGGAATCCCAGGTGTTTTGTCTGCAGTTGGATAGGTACCTCACGGATAAAATGTCAAATCACAAATATTACAAATTGGATCACCACCGGAAAGATTAACATAGCAGGTTTCCCATTTTTTAAAATTTTTGAATTAGGCTTGGACAGTGATAATACCACCACAGTGATATATATATATATACATAATAAGTCTTACTCAGACAACTATACTGACATTAACATACAAATACCCAATGGTTTTCTTGCCCTATTGCGATTGTATCCATGTCTAGCTATGTACAAAAAGGTTGCGATTTTGTTATCGAATGCATCACCTACTTCAGGAGTGTTGCCATTATCCGAAACGGACCAGGACCGCTGACAGAAGTGTTATTCCAACGACCAGTATGAGAGTTGTCCTCATACACTGTTTTGTGCAAGGAGGCATGTTCGGGGGACGACAGGAATCGAGTCACTAACCGATTCAGAACAACCTCAGTGTTCTGCTGTCGTGTCTTGTCTCGCCTGTCAACGCTCACCAGGTCAACTGTTAAGTTAAACAAAATCATATGAGCAACAACTCAAGCATTAATACATGTATATATATAACATTTATCTCGAAAATGGCAGTCGCCTCATTTGCGCTCTTCATGGGGGAGACCAAACAAAGATTGGAAATAAACATTTTGAATTTAAAAGAAATACTGATACTGAAAGAGATACTCTGGGGAATTTAGCGTTTTCTGTAACACACGTGTCATCCATTATGAAATATATTACAATTAAATTAAAATAACATGATTTTTTGTTTTGTTTTTGCCTTCAGGTTAAACTATCAAATTGTGATGCAAAATTTTAAGTACCAGGAATGTCATAATAATCGATGTCAATGTTCAGTATGCAAAGTAAATAATGCTTTAGTAATTTGTTTTGCAATTTTATGAGTCATGATTTAAAACTCGTATCCCGATGAGTAATATTCAAAGAACTAATTTAAAAATCGGAATGAAGATATGTAAGTGGGATATTTTGAAATTGTATTTCGGCCATTTGAATATTGAAAGGAAACGTTCAAAATCACATGCGAGTCACTTTGGAAAACCAAATTAATATTACAAAATAACATATTATTCCTCTAAGTTCATAAGTTCATTTGTTCATATATTTTATTAGTTTTGCAAATGAGAAAACAAGTTCTGTGATTTTTAGATTAATAAGAGTTTTTTTCATTTTTCAAATGAGCTAAATTTGTTTTAGACATTATAAAGGAAACCGCTATAAATGTAAATGTAAATACCTACTGTTTCCGAGATAATTAGCCATTTCGGTAACGTAATTCATTGGTAACCATTGACCTCTGATCCCACTACCTCGGAAGCTGTCAGTAGACTAGATTGCATGAAAGGCTACACTATTTTAATGTATATGTGTATACAAATTACCTTTCGTATCCGAGATATTTAGACATTTCAGTAACGTAATTCATTCGTGACCTTTGACCTTCGACCCAAGAACTTGGAAATTTGTCGGTGGACTTGATTTCATTAATCCCTACAATATTCCAATGTATATGTGTATACAAAATGCCTACCGTTTCCGAGATATTTAGCCATTTCAGTAACGTAATCTATGTGTGACCTTTAACCTTTGACCCCGAGGAAAGTTGAAACCAGACAAAAAACCCAGTTATATATGTTAAACATTATTGCTTCTGGTTTTTCATACCAAATTTGGAAGGAATTGATTACAATTATTTACAATGTAATGGTCTAGAGAAGATTAATGAACCAAGGGCCATAACTTCTCCAAGCTGCAAGGATTGTTGTTATCAGCAAATTTCATTCAAATCCATCGATCAGTTTAGGAGGAGTATACGGTACTACATTGCGTCCATAGACGGACGGACAGATGGACACCCTGATTTCAGTATACCCCGCTAACTTCGTTGCGGGGGTATCATTACATGTCCAGAACAGTTATATCAAAATTTGATGTTACGAAAGGACTAGTGATATGGTCACACGCTCCTCAGTTTTAGATCTATATTCCTGATAGTAGTAATATACCTCTTCATAGCTAGTGAACGAGAAAATAAGCTCTATATGACGAGAGTACATGTATTGATAAATTTTCAAAAGTATGTCTTTTCGTAACATTGAATGTATGTGAAGTATTCCTTATACATATTATAGCTTTAATGCTTTTTGTAGAATATGTTAACGTTATCATATCATTTTGATAACTTAGTTCAATTTATCCAAAACACATAGATGAGTTGTGATTTGTGAATAAAGTCTTCCGAAATGACTTTTCATCACTTAGGGGACTTGCTGAAGCTTAGAAAGACAAGAATGAACTGGAGGATATGGATTTTAATGACCGACTGAATGCCGGCAAGTGATTATTGGTATGATTTATAGATTATTTGTTTATATAACAATATAATGTTTCCGAACTTATCTTAGTAATATATAATATTACATTATTGCTAAGTGGATTTTTTTCCAAAGTTGAGATATTGATTGCTCTTTTCACTTAAAAAGATATATATAGTACCAGTAAGGGTTTTTTTAAATGATAAGCTCACCGTAGAAGTCGAGTGGATTACTAAATTGTGGACAAGGATAGCCTTCTTTGGTGTAGAATTTCAACATCTCGCTCGGAGTTCCAGCGAATGCCAAGAGGCCGTCACTCAAAAGACAGACCTTGTGAAAGAGTTTGAAAAGATCTGACCCAGGCTGATGAACAGTAACCGCTACTAAAGTTCCGGACTCTGCAATTGTCCGCAGTCTGTTCATCAAGGCTTTAGCCGTACAACTGTCGAGTCCGGTCGTAGGCTCATCCAACAGAAGTACTTCTATAACAGTTAGATTCTAGACCTAGCATAGATAGAAGTGATACATCGCTAGGGAAAACTCGCCAAATCAAAAATGCAACATGTTACAAACAACACAATTGAAATTTATGCTGCGTTGCTAGGGATAAGCGCCACCCTACAATTAAGCAGAGTTTACATTGATTGAAAAATAACTGTGCATAGCATTACATATATATCAATTTAATGAAGTTATGTTGCTAATGGAATGGAAAAATCAAATGGCACTATTAATATAAAATATCAAATTGTCCTCATACGATGATATAAATCTCGCAGACATTATGCAGTATCGTGATGCAATAGACAACTTACTGGTGTCGTTCAGTAGTTGTACACCGATGGTCACACGCCGCTTCTCTCCTCCAGATATACCCCTGATTACGGATCCACCGATCTTCGAATCAGCGACAGAGAACAGACCCATCTGATGCATTATCTGCTCAACCTGTACAAAGAAAACAAAACATCATATTCATCAATGGTCAAATCATGTGATGGCAGATGAGAACATACTGACGATAAAGTATAGCTTATATATTACCATACACTGTAATGTCCTTTTTACGGTTTCTGATTTTTGCAGATTTGCTAAATGGCCAATTCTACAAATTATATATTTTTTGGGCAAATTTTGGGTCTCAAATTCATCAATATATAGTACTACAAAAAGGATAAATACTTTTTATGAATTTTGCATTTAAATATTTCGCGGTTACCGCTAATTTTGCAAACATTAGTATCACAAAAAAAGAACTGTTACAGTCACTAAATATTAACAGGAAGCTGTTGGTGTCAAATAAATGCTTATTGGATTAAGCCACTATTATTCAAAAGTTGAAATGTATTTTGTCTACATCTAAATACTAAAAATGTCATGTTATCAAAAAGCTATTCAGTGAAAAAGAACATACACAACTCTTGTGTCAACTCGTTAAATTAAGAATATAAAGTACTACATAACTTGAAATAATACATATTCTTGGGGCCAAAACTTGTGGTTCCCAAACACTCACAATTGTTCATGAAGACACGAATTCGTGGGTCACGAATACTCACTCATACGAGGAATATCTTCAAGGCAAACTTGTAATTAATTCGTGTACCTATGAATTCGTGGATTAAGAGTGACTACGAAATCAACGAAAAATAAAACCCCAACGAAAATGAGTTATTTCAAATTAAAACCCCAACGTAAATAAGGGATTTCGTGGTAGGCATTGATGCATGTTCAAGGTAAATCAGATACGCACCTTCTCTTCCACCTGTTCCTTTGAAGAGTCGCCTGGCATGCGAAGGTATGCAGCGTATGTTAGTGTCTCTCTGACTGTCAGGTTCGGAAGCAGACGATCGTACTGGATGACGTAAGCAATGTGTTGCTGGATGTTACTTTCGGTGCAAGGTTGACCATTGTAGACCACAGCTCCTGATAACTTGCCATCAATTCGCGACGAAATGACGTCCAGCAAAGACGATTTACCGGCACCTTGTTAATAACACACACGATCAATGTTATTTAGATCATATGCCAAGATTTGGAGTTCTGGTAAATATAAATTAATCGGTATAGGTTCTTTTCCGTATTTCAACAATAAGAATGTAAAATACATATGAATATTTTCAGACAAGTTTTAAGTTATCATAAATTTTGCCCTGTTTCTCATTCATTGTTAACATTTTAAACCTTTTTGTTATATGTATTTAAAAATATTAGAACCTCTCACATTAAATCATTGAACAAAATGTAAAACTTAACAAACCGTTAAGAGATTGTTCCATCAAATCACATTGTTTGTATGCAATATAACCGTTTCTAAGGTCTTGCGACAAAAATGCATTTATAATAACATTAAAATACCAAAAATCAGTGTGAATTAATATTGAAAACGGGTAGTACTTTTAAAATGTCGTAAACAACTGAATTTAGTTGAAATATAGTATTTCTGTGTCAACTTCTGTTACAACCTCAGCACACTGGCTTGAAACTTGATTCTTCTCGGAGTGAACTAGATTAACATTGCAGTATCACTGATTTAGTAGAAAACGTTTGTTTAATGTAATTCTTTCCCTTTTTCATGTTTTGCCCTATGTTTCGGCGATGCATTGTTCGAATAAAGGGCACCTCCTTTCCATGAATATCCTGAAGTAAGTTTTCTTGGCTAATGTTTTTGACAGTAAGTGTGTTGAGGTCATTTTGTTAATCGTGCAAACACAAGTTACCTGAACTTCCTAAAATCGCCGTGAGTTCCTCTCCAAAGTGGAGGTCGATATTTTTGAGGACGTTTTTCAGTTGTTTTGACCTGCAGCACAACCCTTTCCACCAGGGACCAATACGTCTATGTACACAATACGTCACGTCCTTCATCACCAATGACGACGGCCCGGTGGTGGTAATAGGCTGGACAGAGATTCTAGTCCTTTTCATGCCAACCATCTCCTCTATCTTATCAGCTATCCTCGAATCATGTACCTGTCCATATAGAGAACGAGTTTTAAAGTACAAAATACGACCGCAAGTGTGTTTAGGATATACTATACGTTATAGTGACATTGATATATATTTTGTCGTTATAACAATACTTTTGCAGATGTTTCACTCAATCAGTAGTTGACGGGATATACAAATGTATATTGTCAAAATGGATAGGTGCCGCTGTGTCCGAGTGATAAATGATTCTGTTCGTCTACGATCACTAGACCTACACGCTCGCGGGTTCGAAACCTACGTAATGCAGTCGCTAGGTTCTAGCCTGATTTTATAAGATTGTTTATTACTGACTTAGTTTTATTTGAAATGACGGAGGAAGCAATTTTGTAGTCAACGTTGAGTAGAGTAATTAGTCTCAAGGTTTTATTTTATATTTAATTTGGACTTACCTTCTTTTGGAATACATGTAATCATACCTTGAAGTTGAGTAATAGAAAAAAGCTTTTCTTCATATGCTTGATTTTGAGAATTAATAAAAAATCTGTTTATATCTGACCTTTTTTTTTTTTTTTTTTTTTTTTATAAAAGTCTACAGTGAACCCATCCATTTCAGGATATTTATTGTTATTCATGCCTTGCAGTGATTTAAGGCATTCTGGATAGTTAATATTTCCTTCTAATTGGTTACTTTGTTCAGGGGATAGTTTATTTATAAATCAGTTCTTCATTAAAAAAAATCAGTGTCAACTTTGCCATTTGTAATTGTACTTGCATAAAGATTTTAATATAATTTTGATTGTTCTGCTTAAATGTCCTGTATATCATATAATTCATCTCCAGTTTCTGTTATACTTTTGGGGATTAGTTTTTCTTGATAATGACTTTTCTTCTAGATTACAAAAAAATAAACTTCTTTCCCTATCAACCTTCCATTTTGATTTAGCTCTTAAAACAATCCCTTTTATTTTATCCACTCTGATTACTCTAAGTTCATTATCCTATTCTTCAATACCATCATACTGCCTATTATTTTCTTGCTGTAATTTTTCCAGTTTTCCCTCTTATCATTGATTTTAAAGTTTTCCATACTAATTTATCATTTATTGCAAAAGTCCTTTAATTCACATCTTCTTCAGGATTTGGAGCATACATCTAAAGTAGCCCTGATTCATTTTTTGACTAGATCAACATAATCTGGGTCACTTAACGAACTCTTATTTAATTGCCATGTTCCTTTTCCCTTTGATTGGTCAATACAGTTAACAAATAATGACACAGGAGAATGATCTCTTCACGACTGCATTTTATGCTCTTTTGCAAAGACGTCATGTAAAACGCAATATGACATCATAATGAATGTGACAATTTTGGTATTTTAAGTTTAACCCGCCCTGTTCCACAAAGAAATTAAAAGGTACAGATTTCATTATCACACAAAGACGGAGGAGTTGCATTCCTGTTTAGTTGCAATATGCAACCCGGGCAGAAGGATGACAGCAAGCCCGCTCCGGTTTGATTTCAAATTAATTTCAATTAAAAAAAGTGTTAATTATATTTTCTACAATTACCTGCTGTGTTTTTGAACGCTATGCCAATTATGTGTCGAATGAACGGTGTAGAATCACACAACAAACCATTGAAAGTCCCCCACGTTTTTTTGGGCTGTTGATTTGATGAAAACCAGACTTTTCTACCGAGAGTGACATTTTGACCTGAACTACTATTTTTCCGAACGCGCTCGCCTGCAAAAGTCACCTACGACAGAATGTGACATTGCTTTCCTTCTGCCGGCGGTCAAGATTGGCAATATGTTGATATTGTGTGGAAAGGAAAGGGGTACAGATTTTAGTCAATCTAATAACTTACCCAAGTGAAGATGTCGACTCACCCGCTACTAATACATGAACCATCTCGTCTAACTAAATACCTTACCCACCAGGTTTACCATTAAACACCATGACAGCCCCATCCAAAGGCAGATGTTTACAATACTACTGACGATTTCAATTCTGACGATGATTTGATAAAAAGTAAAATTGACAAATTCTCTTTTTCACGAACGTGATTTTAAAAAAAATTGAAAGAGGGTAGACAAGTTAACCGAATTCCCAAACATTTGCTAAACAAACGCGTATCCTGATTTTTCATGAGAACCTTAACTGGGGAGGAATACGAAATTTACCTGTACCTGAAATAAAACAACCACAGCTATCAAATCAGCTCTAGCGATCATGAAAGTGACAACATAAAAAATAAACAGAAAATGTTAAAGAGGGATCGGAAGATGAATTGGCAAAACCGAGCTAACGCTATCTCCGATGATGATAAAATGAATTATATGAAACCAAGCAACTAGTTGTTTAACTTAACTCAACTAGGGGATTCAAATCCCGAATCTCTTCCCAAAACTATGTTGTTCAACAGTACAGTTTAGTTTTGTATGAGAGGGGTTACAGGACATCGCGATATAAAGTGGCGGATGTCACATTACGCTTAGTTCAAATGAATATCTGGAATTTAAAGAAATGCAGACTAAAGCTATGCCCGGGAGTAGCCTGAAAAATGTCAGGTCAGTTCCTTTCTTGTAACGGGAGACCCTCCAGAATCCCTCCCACTACCAAACAGGGATGTACAAAATATACGTGATAGCCGGTTATCTTCTTATTGCATTGCAGTACCATTTTTGTCGATAAGGAGCAGGCATTTTCGATAACTTACAAAAGGAAAATGGAGCACATCTGAATTTATATATTCCAGTTAAAACAAGTTTCAATATTTAAACAAACAGATATACAAAACGTGGCCCAAGTTCTTGCCTTTGACCCACTCTATCCTTCTATATTGACTATATACAATACATAGCTACTGATGCGTTAAATGTGTTTATACTTGTCCTGAATGGTTACATAATGAACGTTGTTTTACCGTGCGTGACTAACGAATAAAATGATAAATCCTTTATCACCAGAACCACAAAAATAGACAAAATAAAAGGGACATTACTCCTGAAACGAAGTGTGTATTGTGTGTTAAATGATATATTGATGTACCGCTGACGTCATGAGAATACCCAAGTGTCAACAACACCATGCATCTAACACAAAACCACCGATAGCACTACGGCAAAATATGAACAAAGGAATGACTTACATGACATCCTAAACAAGGTACGATTGGAATAAGACCCAGGTGTTCCGGAAGGGTAAACATCTTCTACTTCATCGAGGACACTTATCATACAAGTCTAGGCCAAATCCAAGTAATATCACGTTTTCATAGCGATAGATTGGTTAGTGACAACAAAACAACACGGCAAAAAATTAGTATAATGCCAAATTTTATCCTTCATAACACACAAAAATAGCTTACCTCCTGATAGGATCGTGATGCCGAACAGAAAGCTTTTTCTGTATTTTTCATCAACCTGCTTCTTTTGAAGTCCGATTGTGCATTTTGTTTTTGTTTTACAGCAGTCGACATATATTACGGAAAGCATGAGACTCGGATTAAACCTTTGAATACCGAATCTAGAAAGGGAAATTTTTCGTTCTTACGATTTTATTCCTATAAATGTGTACACATCACTGTATTAACTCATTCACCCCTGAAAATTTATAATGAACTATTCCAACCCTTGACCTGGAAGAGTTCAAATGTGTCTTCAGGGGTGAATGAGTTAATATCTGGTCATGATTGTTTTTCGTTATCCTACTCTTTCTAAATAAATGACTTCAACTGGTTTTTAGAGAAATGGATCAATAGATGTAGAAAAACGATTACTCTGTGATAACGTCATTATGTTAAATAATACAGGATACAAGTTATTCGTTTACGGTTTATCGTCATAAACACTTCAATCATAAGTCAAAGTTCTCATTATTGAACAACGAAGCAATCAAACTGATCTCCATGTCAAATATAGTTACTACTCAATTGTAATATTACATAACAGCATGATAGTAAGATGGGTCATAACACTTTATTTAGGAAAAGAAAATTTCAACAGACAAGATGCAATGTTGATCATTTTAATGATCGATTGAATAATTACTCACTGATCTTTTAGTGGTAACTCTCCATCTACACGTAATAGTGCATACTTATATAATGTACATTACGTCTAGATTAAGAGTCACAGGTATAAGTGCACACTATTTCGCCACCAGACTGTATACCACTGCCGGTCGTTACGTGTCACTAATCGACATGTTAACTAGTGTTTGTAAGAGACATTTCCAGTGCAAATAGATTAGGACTACAATTGAGATATACAGCGTCGAAGCATTTACTGTAATTTGGGATTTAAACTTACATATAAGTTACCTTCCATATATAGCAGTACACCGCCTCACAACTTTTTATGTTTCGTTAATCAAACAGTTGTGTAATTGTTTTCGATATGATTTATACAGATAATCACCCAAATGCAAGTTGCAAGTGCGTTCCTTGGATTTTCAGTGTTATTGACATGGTTTGATGGAAAATATTAACTGAATAATCCTATTATATCTACCTTTAGTAGAACTATTTTTCAAACCGTTCCATAAAACATATCACTCGTGATACGTTTAACTTGATTGTGATGCTCTATGAGTAATTAGCAACATCAGGATATAGACGAAATTGAGAGTGTGACACAGAAAGGTCATTTGCCTGCGCAAGTAAAATTATATGGCACCAAGATTTTCAACGTGTACGAGGGTCATTCGTTAAATTCTGTAACCACACATAACCGTACGAACGGGCAATACAATAGTTTAGCGACTTGTTTTTTGGTTTAGTATTGTTAAACGTCCTATCGACAGCTGTGATCATTTAAGGTCGGCCTCCCCTGTGTGCAAGATGCATGCGTGTAGTGTATGCGTGTATGTTTTTGGAGGCTGCGATATGTTCGTGTTTGTCTCCTTGTGGTAGCCCGGAACTGATGCCGACTTTATAGTGCTACCTCACTGAAACATACTGCCGAAGACACCCAGCAGGCCACCCCATCCGGTCACATTATACTGACAATGGGCTAACCAGTCGTCCCACTCCTAAATTGC